AGTTGTGTCTGTTAACCTTTCATTCTTACACTACGCTCTTTAGTATCATTGTTACTACAGTATGAAACATAATTAAAACATGTAAACATGGGTAGCTTAGTAGGGTGTTGGGCAGGTAAAGCCTAGCAGCCTGGTGAGCTTATAATATAGCGGGGGAAACATTCAAAATTCCTTGACGATGCCAATATTCCACGGCCTCTGTTTCTTCTTGTTGAATTATGAACATAGACCTTAACAGCGGTCAGTGTAACCTTTAGTGCCATAGAGTTCCTTGTGGGTCTTCATGGGTGAGTTGATGTAGTCAATGGACTCCCAAACCCTAAGAATAAGCCTCCTCACCCTTGATATTCCTTTAGATCATAACACCATGTACTAGTTGGGATCTTTTTTCCTACTTTTTGCTGTCAGGTGGGTTGTATTTAATTCAAATTTGTGCACAATATGCAAGGCAAGTAAGTGGCACTAAACATACATGAAGTGAAGAGAAGCCACAAAAAGAAAAGGCAAGTTGAGCCCCAGTAGGAGGCAGTGAGAGGAGCACTGCGAGCAGCAGTTGTTGTGGGAGGATGTTGGACAACAGTGGTAGAAGCAATGAACAAACTGCTGTAAGGAGTACAGATTCCATAGTTTTTGCAGAAGCCTTTTAACCCATCTATAGTAACAAGATAAAATTGCATGGGTTTTGTACACAGGCAAGGGAAAAGAAGAAATGCAACACAGTCTCCTGCAACAGCTGCACATGTCTTCTGTTTAAAGATATCTTGTCGTTCTTTTTTTTTTTAAGAAGGCAAACTGAGGCTCAGTTTTTATTACCAGGGCAGATCCAGGATCCCTTTGTTTGTCCTTTGCTTCACACTAGACATCATTTTTAATTTGGTATATCTTATCTGATAATCTGACGAGCCACATTGATATCGTGTATAGTTCAGGTTTAGTTCTACAGATGATTAATCTGGGACTGCTCCTATCTTTTTCTAGAAAGGGACCTTTTTCTAGTACGTAATTATAGTTTGGTTTTAGCTAATCATAGTAATGAATGAAATAACAGCAGATGCCATGAGAAACCTAACCTGGTATAATCCAGATTAATGGGTGTAGTTCAATTTAAATTCTACACAGTATCCCTCTGAAAAGCCTCTTGAGGAAAGTGTTTGCAAAGGGGAGGAACTTTCATTACAATTTTTCAAAGTGATTGGGTAAATACAGGAGCACATGTCAAGCTTTAGCCAAACGCAGCAGCTGTGAAGTATAACATTCTTGATTTTTTTTTTTTTTTTTTCTCACACCTAGCAGAGATAACTTTTATACTCTTATACACGGAACACTCTCTTGATTTTCTTTTTTTTTTTTTAAGAGGAAATTATGGATTCTAACAAAACATACCGGTATGTGATTGCAGCAGCTATATGTGAGTCCTCCTGCACGGACATGTTTTTATTTTAATTTTGGCTCATTCATGTGCTCTGTAGCTTTTGTATTCATCACAGTTATTTTTCCTATTTAAAACCATAATACTGCAACGTGATTTGCCAACACATTTTTGGTCAGTTGCGAAAGGTAGAAGCGAGGGCGGGACAAGATTATTTTTCGTGTGTCTGCGAATGCACAAATATAAGAATTTACCTTGCAGGGAAGAGTTGCCAATTTACAGAAAGTTCTGATTTTCAACCTGATCCCGCCTTTCGAATCGCTTTGCTCCTTAATGCACCTCTAAACAGGGTCAACGTACGTCACTTGCTAGGATCTCATTAACCGTGTTTGGTGTGAATGCTCCACAGGAGGCCAGACTTAGGAGGAGCAATGTCAGTGGTGTGGTAGTAATAATAAGTAAATGAGGATGACAAAATAAGCAACCTTCACTTGCTTTCAAGGGAATCCTCCAGGTAGCTTGGCATCCAGACCCTGGTCTATGAGTAGAGGTCTGCAGGTTAAAAAGCTTTTAAATTACAACCCAAAGAAGGCTTAATATTGATGGACAAATATCTGTTTACCATAACAAAGGATATGATAATATCTTTTCACTTTGAGTAACCTTTACTTAGTAGTCACTGATACTTGGTATCAGGGTGTACCAAAATTTCATATACTTTCAGAGGTTTCAAAAATCTGGTGTTGGTGCAACTCTACAGCATAGCACTCCTGGAAATTAGCCTCTTGATTAGGAAGGCTGAACAAAGTCACAGATATACTCTCAGCCAAAGACTAATTTTCACACCACAGAATATCTATCACTTTGCAGATTAGGTGCTTAAAAAAAGCAATTTTGTCTCAACCCTGGGCAGAAATGATCACACCCTGCCTGATATCACCATTCACTAATCAGAGAAACTGGGCATGTTGTTTACTGGACAAAGTAGGTCAAGTTAGGTGCTTCCTGAACAAGGGTCTTCTGCACAGATGGAAGTCCTCTTTTGAGCATCATTTTTGATAAAGGGAGTGCATTACACGCTGGTTAAAAGTAAAAATCTTTATTTTATTTTTTATGATTTTGGCCCCTTTAAGAGTTTTCTTGATTCTATAACTCAGACACTTGTAAGGTCTTGGTGTGGCTATTGAAAAAAAAAAAATAAATTGAAATGTTTAATCATGACTGATTCATTAAAGGGAAGGTCACTTTTCTCTTTAGGTTGTTTTTCAATCCATATTGTGTGTTGCTTTTTTCCTAACAAACTGATTATGTGAAACTGGTTATTGTCTGATATAGAATTTGTTTTATGATCTTAAATATCTTCAGTGTGAACAAAGCAAATATTTCACATTTTCTTACAGAACTAAAAATGGAACACAATAGTATGGTCTTTCCTTAACAGTAAAATAAGCAGAACACCAAAAATACTTATTTTAGGGAATATCAAACAGCTTCAATCCAAGTTGTTTTTTGTTTAAACATGTCAACATTAATAACTTTGAGGAAGAGCAATAGGGACTGCTTGTCTGCATGCACTTGTCTTGAAAATTGAAGAGGTAATTGTGCTTGCTTTCTGCTCACATCGTGTTATTTTCATGTTTTTTATCTAGCATGCATCTACCACAAAGATGAAACAATCTGATGAACCACAGTGGTTTCCATGAGGTGCCTTCATACGTTGTACAAGTTGGCTGTTTGCTTTCATTTTAGAGGAGGTGTTCTGTTTCTGCATATATCTCTGCTGTTCACACTTATGAAATAACTTGTTTAACCACTTAGAGCAAAATACATCCTGTTGGCTACTTAGCAGTTTGAGTTTTTAAAACTCTACGTAATTAATCCAAATATATTTACCTGCACTTAATTTAAAACAAGTTTGAGTCTACGTAACTGAGTAGAACCTTTTGTTTTCTGTAAATTCTTATTAAATACAGGAGTAATTACTGATGGTGTTGACTTATGAAACATTACACCATGTAGCTTATCTGCAGAGAGGCTGCGGCATTTTCTGTACAGCACATTTTTCAACATTGTTGCAAAGATGAAAAAAAAAAAAGCTGTGGTATGTTTCTCTTTGTCTACAGTTTCATAAATGAGCCTTTATGTTGCAAGAGGGCACATTATCTGATTATTATTGTCCATAGCCCAGCTGCAGTGATGATGCAACTCCGACTTCAATTGATTTTGAAGACAAGACTTGCATGAAGAAGTTGTGAAGGTTGGAAGTTTCTATATTATATTCTATATTCTATATTTTAACAAAGTTATGTATACACACCCATGCAGGCTATTCTTCCCAAAAACTGAAGTGTAACTTGAGATAATCTGATCCACGCTAAACGAGTCGTGTAACTCAGAGCATTGCTTTACTGCAATCTGAGCCCACCCTTAAACATGAGATAAAGCTGTTGTTGGGCAGCAAAACCGATATGACAGTGACCTGATCAGGCATATGTTTGTTTGAATATCTTTACAAGTATCTCCATGACTTCCTATTCTGCTGGTCCAAAATGGTTTGCTATGAGATTCTAAAACACCAAGGGATACTGATTAATTTTGAGACAGTGTACCATTGCCAATTGCTTCCAGGGGCTCAATGTTTTCTTCTTTTTTCCTGAATTTAAATCCTACACTTTACTTTCACGAGGGCTATTTACAGGCAGAGCCAGACATGGCTGTCCTCAGCTGATTGCAGCAGATTTTTATCTTTCCCATCCATTGACCTCCGTTGTTCTGATACATTGCAACAAATGGATCAGCCTTTCTTTAAAGCCCTTTAATCTAATCTGTCTGCGTGGATAAATCGGCTTTGTAACTGGATCTTGTCGTCGCAGAGGGCCCACTGAGGACTCCCTCACATCTTTCCCGTCTCCTCCTCTACGCTATGAGTCAGTCATCCCTTCTCTACAGGTTGGCAGGAAGACTCGTTACGCCATCTCACAGGAATCTATGGTGATTTTTCTTTACCCAGAATAGTTCACAAGCAGTGTTACAAATGGCAGCAGCTATATTCCAATTATTCCTGGCTCTGGATATCCAATTAAACATCCAACATCCATCCCAGGCATGCAGAGGATTCAGTACACAGAGAGTAAGCAGAACACCCACCTTTTTTCCCAGTCTCGCCATTAATTTCCTCTTGCTTGCTTCCCTCTCAAGATAAAGAGATGAAGGGCTTAAAGTCGTTATCAAGCTTGCATTGATGCACAGTTTGAATTTTACATGTAAAGCTCTCTGTTTTCTTGGAGAGCGTCCCAGGCTTGCAGCATCAGCTGTTAGTGTCCGATCAACAGCAGAGCTTTAACAAATCTTTTTTTCTTCTCTTGTTTTTGTTACCATCTTTGGCTATCCTTCGGTGTTGCTGTTTAGACAGGATTGCATAAAGCATCAAAACATTGTGGATTTATATCATGATGTGTGTGTTGCTCTTTTAGATGTATATGTCTGTATTCTGGCTCTCAGGCAGGTTTGCTGAAAGCGATTTTGATCTCAGTAGGATTTTTATAGTGAGATGAAGGTGAAATAAATATATAAACTGTAACAAATTAATTGGGAGATAAAAAAGACAGCAGGGTATTTTGGCGTGTTTGCGATGGCTGCTTTCGTTTCAGACTGGCACCCGGCGGGGACGACTGTGCCAACTCGTTGTAAGAGACGAGGCAAACCGTAATCTTTTCACAGAGCCTCCTCCTGTCTCTGCAACAAACATGGGCTCTTTAATTTGCATACTTTTTAATCATGACATACCACGTTGTCTACATTGTTGAGATAATTTTTACTGCTTCGTTAGACAGCTGAAAGTAAAACTGCTGTAAAGAAAGAGACACACATTTAATCTTTTTTTTTATTGTTATTGAGGGCATTTATTCATTTATTTCTTTTCCGCTACTTGGGTCTACAATTGGTACAAACACCTTTCATGTCTAGGAAATGAAAAAACTGGGAGAATTTCAAAGATTGACGTATTGTTTTCTAACCCAACCCTGCTTCTTCAACTTTTCCATAGTTTTATCCCTTAATTTCTTCCTTTGTTGCTTGGTCTTCAAAGACAATGGCTTTATTCAAAGCTAATTGTCTGATAGAACGGCCCAGTAATAGTAAAGGGCTAAATATAACAGAAAATCTGCCATAAGAACCTCAGCATCCAATAAAACCAAGCTTGGGGTATATTTTCCTGATATTAAAGACGTTCTCCCTTAATAACACATGCAATGTCTTAACTTGGTTATTAAACATAATGAAGCAATATTCAGAGAACACTTTGCGTTATAGAAACCAAATCCAAGTTTAACACAGAAAAGCAAGGTTCTGGCTTTGGGACAGTTTGAGTTTGCAGTTAAAGAAAACTCCAAACATAAAGCAGAAGAAAAAGAGGTCTACATTTATGGTTCCCATGAGGATGTTTCTGTGGAATAGTTTAACTAGATGCTATAATTGATTTTTGTAAATCAAAATTCAAAATAAAATAACCTTTCTAAATGACCTGTATATCATTAGGCTCTTTTAAAGAAATCTAAATATTTTCCTATTATTTATTTTTATTTTTATCATATTTCACTGTGATATATATATAAAAAGAAATTGAACCATGCAGAAAAAATGACCCTGAATGTGAAAAAGCTTAGGAGAGCTCACAATTTCTTTAGTGTGATATAGTGAAATTGTTTGGTAACTAATGTTATCTAGCAAATTTTGAGGAACTTTACCAAACAGCTAACTATTTTTATGCAGATAAGAAATTACACACAGTGAGTTTTACTTGTTGGTATCAAGTTTTCTGAATATAATTACACTTTTCAACCTTTTTTTTTTTTTTGCATTATTCATCTGTTTCCTTCCACTTCACAGTTATGTACTACTCTAATATAAAATTCTAACACAATATATTCAAGTTTGTCATTTTAATTCAACACACCCTCTCTCCTCTAACATTATTACTTTATTCTGTTTATGAGGACTTCCTGGCAGCTATTGACAATTTTGATCAAACAGCTGAAAACGTGTGGTATGGCCACATCCTTCCTTCCTTTCGAGTCTTAAATAACCACTTTATTTCCATCTGTTCAATGATATTAACTCAAGAAGGAACAGTATTTTTCTGCAGCGTTGACGTGATTTAAAGTCTTTTATTTTAAGCTATTCAAGCTTTTTGGGGGGAATTTCTAATACATTTTTTGTTTTGAGAAACAAGATGGTGAATAATAGTCGTTAAAACATAAGGAATTTGATATAAAAAATGTCTGCTTTATTTTCTGTTTTTATAAAACCCCTTAATGTGTTTATGTTCTTTTCTCCCCAGTTAAGTACATGCGTGAGGCTACGCCATATGTCAAAAAGGGCTCCCCGGTGTCAGAGATTAGCTGGGAGACGCCCCCTCCTGAGTCTCCACGCCCCAGCAGCCCTCCCATCACTTCCTTCCCCTCCTCCTCTTCCTCGCCTCACTCCCTGAGCTCTCCCAGCCAGCCCTACCTGTCTCTATACAGCGACAGGAGGTACATACCTCTGAAGATGTCTTGTGTAACCCGAGCCATGACCAAAGCAGATCCTGAGAACAGGTAGGTGGAAGCTCACTGCGATAAAACCAACAAAACAATCAGCACAGTATGCTACAGAGATGAAACAGCAAGCTTGCTCCCTAGACATCAGATATCATTTTAATCAATCCTCAGTCCAATAACTTTTCCTTAGGGATTTTTTTGGGAGGGCTTTAATAAAAAAATAAAAAAAATACATATAGAATATAATGCAGTTGTACAATCACATATTTCCAGACTTTTAAGTCTTGTAATATATATCTTATTTCGAGTCTTACTGGGCTGCTCTGATGGAGGTGACCATAAAAGCAGCAAATTATGTATCCATATTCACATATCTACAGAGAGATACACAAAGCTGCATGTTTTCTCCCTCTTCTCTGCATTCCTAAATGAAACTGTCCTTAAACTCTGGTTCCTGCTGCATTCATTTATTTGTGTTCATCAAATTTAAAAGGACGTAACATTAGGTTTTACTAGTTTTTATTAAATTACCAATATAATATGTGGGTTTTTAGAACACTAAATTGTGCAGTATTAAGTGGAGCGCCTTGTGAAATTATTTGCACCTTTAGAGAATTTGTATTTTATTTATTTTTTTCAGTTTTGTCACTTAAGTAACATGCAGTTTCTATTCTATAATATAAGTTGATATAAATATTGTATTATGTGAAGTGAAATGGGAAAAAAATGTAACCATCTTTGTAATTTCTCAGTCAAAAAAGTTGCTTGGAATATTTTTGATCATGATCTGCTTGCTACTCCTTGTGTACTTTGTGGCTAAAGCTCATGGTGAGATTTTGGGGAAATAAGATCTGAGATATATATATATATATATATATATATATATATATCATCCCCCTCTAAGCTCTGTTCATTTTTTTTTTGTGGGTTCTTGCCCAGTTAGAAGTTCCATCAGAATTTTGAGTGTTATTAGGCTCTAAAGCCCTCCAAACCAAATGGTTAAAAAAAAAAATGTTAGTAGTTCACAACGGTCAATGTGGGAGCTAGATATGATGGCAAACTAGACTGTCTGTGGCTTGCGGAAGGAGAATCACGTCCGACTGGTATGACCAAAATAAGAACTCAAAAAAAAAAAGGTCAGAGGCGAAGAAGAAAATACATCAATCACCAGTTTTCTGTAGAAGCAGCAGTCGATCCATAATTTTACCTGAAAAAGTTTATTATTGTTTTTTTTTTAGTAAATATAATATTAATTAAATCTTATTGTTATGACAATGATATTGTCTTATTGTTATGACATAAGGGTAGCACCCTTATGTCATAAAAATTTATCGCAGACATGCAAATAATTTTCACCAGATATTACAGCATCATGTAATTCATGTAGCACATAGCATCTACCTTCCCAACCAGCCAGCTGTGGACTCCTCTAATCAAAACACCTTCTTTCACATGTGATGTTCCCCAAACATGCAAACCTTTTAAAACTTCTTTCTGCGGCTTTCTCTCCTTAAATAAGTAGTAAAGTGCTAGATTAATCCTTGTGTCAATGGGATCTCCCACCTGAGCTGTGAATCACCGGAGCTCCTGCAGAGTCCCTGTGAGCCTCTTAGCCACTTAGTTGATTAATGCTCTTGTTCTGCACACTTTCCATTTCCCAATCAGCTGTTTAAAGTTTGCAATGTTTTATAACCAAAACCTGCCTTAAACTTTTTAACTGTACTTAATCTACCTGCTGTTTACTTCACTATTAGAGGAAAGTAAATGGTCAATAATTAGTTGGTTTTTTTTTTAAATCACCTGGAAAACCATGTGTAATTTTACCTTCGCTTAAAATTGTTTTGTTTTTTTTTGCAGGTGTATTAAGAAAAACCCAGATTAACTTATTTTAACTTTATTTTGTGGCAGTAATGTAATGTGTGTTAGAAGCTGGTGTGTCATTTATAGGATTTGTAATTATTGTAAAACCCACACTGGCGTTCGGTAGCAAATAGGATTTAAGAAGCATTATAAATTAAGATGTCCCAAACAGATATTGATATTGGAAATCTGTCTGATATCAGCCAGAAATCTGAATATTGAAATATATCAACCTGCCTTTAAAGTCTCTGATATTAGAAGGTTAATAGAAACACTTCATTTCTCTCTGCTTTTGTTACAATTTTATGGAGCTCTTTGGTGAATAAGCAATGGGTCACAGTTTCTCAAACCTCCTGTCTTAAATATTGTTCTCTTTGTGAGAAATATCTTGTGATGTAGACTTTTTTTTATCCTTCCACACTGTAAAATAAGTGATAAAAGAATGTATAATTAGTGTTTATATCGAATATGATCAATATTTGCATCGGTCAATACTCAAAGGTGGAATATCCGTGTCTTATCGGAAATTTAAAAGTTCCTTCTGGACATCCCTTCTAACAAATACTGTAAATTTGTTGTAACTGATAGATTGTTATAAGATGGATGTTGTGAGATTTAAGGGTAATCCACATCACCATGGGGTTTACAGTCCTTTGACCAAAAAACAAACAGAGAATATGGTGATGCCGTAACAACTGTTGGTTAGGTTTAGAAATGTTCCATGTTGAATCTACTGAGAACAACCTGACATTTTATTCTCTGCCCGTTTCTTTTTGCTCATTAGTATCCGCCCCTGAGTCAGAAAGCTTCATCAACTATCTTGAAAGAAAGAAGTTCAAAAGTGACTTTTTCAGGCCATTTTCCTTGAAGACAGACATTTGAAGTCGCTAGACACACTGAGTAGTGCCGGAGATGTGAGCGTGCGCATGTGGGAGGAGACTAGCGTCTGTAAGTAGGTGTCATTAAGGTAATAGGTTGGTAATTTTGATGGTGGTTGTGTCAAACCGTAAAGTGCTACACAGGAGAGATTTACTTTACTTTATTCCCTTTTTTCCACTTTCTTCGCTGTGTATTGCTGCCCTCTTTATTGCTTTCTCATCACTGTGTTTTTTTCTGTACGTGCAATACTTTCTCCATGTTGCTCTCTCTTGTCTACGTTTGAATCTTTTGAACTTGTTTGTGTTTTTTCTGCCCCAGACGACTTCCTGCTGTCCTCTCCTTTTTCCTCTCTTTCATCATCTCCCTGTTCAGAAAAAACGAGCCTGTCTCCCTATCATCCGACCTCTTCATGTTTGATTTTTGTTTCTGTTCTCATCTGATCTCTTGGTGATCTCCCTGTGATTTAGTCTCTTTATCTGCGCATCTGAGGTGGTTTCTCTCTCCCGAAAGGTTTGCATAATGACATCACATCAGTGACCAAAGATCTTAGTTACTCAATCTGCAGCTTTGTTTTTCTACTCTCACAGTTTGTTATATACAGTTTAAAAACAAAATGAAAAAATTAAATTTTACTGGGTTTTGCATAAAATTAAATATAGATATATGCTGTATTTGCCTTAGATGTTTTCTGGTTGTGTGTAATCCTTTATCGCATCCTCTTCTGAAATAGCTTAAGGTCATCCATATAGTGAATGACACCTACATATGGTTTATTAGCTGAACTTGTTCCTCATCTTTGATGTGTTGTTAGTAAAATGCATTGATTTCCTCCAAATGCTTTGCATCAGATCCTGTTTCTCACACAGCATAGAGAATCTTCCTCATCTCTCCTTCCTCCTTTTCTGTCTCGCTCTGACATACATCCTAACAGAGCAATCTTTGCTCTAATCGGCTTGTGTGTAAAGTTGGGAAAAGTACCACAAATTATTCTCCTGAACATATTCAATTCTCATAAAAGCAAACAGCTTTTGTATGAAAACGGATTTAGCTATTTATCTGAAAATGCATTTTAGGATTCATGTCAAGACCTGAAGTAGATTTTTTTTTTTTACACATGCAAAAAAAGGTGGTTAGCTTTGATCTTTCACTTATTCCTAAAACTTCAAATGGAAAAACATTGTGATTCTTGTGATACAAAATAGTACTTTGTGTATAATGATGGGTTTAACATCAAATGATGCCTCACAAAAACATATTTTTTAGACGGGCAACATGATTCCTGCTTATTTGACACCATTTTGACAGCCCAAACATGTTCCAGCTCCAACTTACTGTAGGATGGACTTGTTAGCAGCAGCATTACATTCCTGTATCCATCTCATACAGTCAGAGAATTTTAAATGAGATGACAACGTGTTATGATCTTGGTGCTCATGACTGGCTGGATTACTCATTTCTGTCACCTGTCTAAAGGCTGATTTATACTCAGAAACCAGGTTGTCTGCGTGTGTGTCACAGTGAATGCAAATGTGCCTCGGCCCCTTCCGCAGATCCTCTGCTGCACCTTTCCAAAATTGTCGGTTACTGCAGACAGTGCCGCAGAAAGGAGGTCTCTGATTGGTCAAATCTACATCCGCTCTATTTCTTGTTTGGTTCCTTACCGGCTTGATTTTTAATGTTTTTTTCTCTGTCAAAATGGGTCTACAAAGCATTTCCAGTGCTTCTTTCTGGTTGGACACATTTATTTATTCTGAACTCACTTTTGATCTCGAGAGGTTGTTGTGAGATTTCCCGTCTGTCTGATTTCCTATGAATATAATTTGTTAATGTGTTTTGTTGCCGTGTAGCTGTACACCATACACTGTAGGATAAACACTGTTTTATCTCAGATTATCTCAACATGATGTGTGGGAGTCTATTAAGTTCTGCAAATCGACAGACAATTTTACAATCTAGCTGAAGCAGGCTTTTCTTAAGCAGAGTGACTTATTTAACCTGCCAAACACTAAACTGTGTAAGGTGTGCATTATAAGCACATAGAAACTAGTACCAAATGGTGTAAAAGTTAATTAAATAATGCACACCATAGGATCAATCATAAGGACCTGGGATCCATAGATATGAACTTATCAGTCACATAACATGCATTACATAGGAATCGGTTGCTGAGAATTTCTCTGAATTCTGTACCTTTCATTGCATTGCCTTTACCTGTTTAATGGCCTTGCATTTTTATTTTATTGCATGAACATCTGTGTGTAATGTTGGCATAATATTGGTGTTCCTCAGGCCTTTTTAGATTATCTTTGGCTTTATGGGCACAAGGTGTCCTTACCTAAGAGAACTTTGCTCACGTTTCATATTAATTCAGTGTTAAATTATAGAATATTGTCTCATAGATGCACTTCAAGATTGTTAGTGTTATGAATAAAACATTTAAAAGTCTGTCCTGACTTTCAGAATCACCAGAAGCTGTTCATAAAAACGTTCAGGTAATGTTGATTTTAAACTACTTAAGAGCTCTTCAGGGTTGAACATTGACTTTGGTGCCCATAACTGTTACTTTATTGGTGAGTTAAAGGAGGAGTTGAGGTCAATGCCCCATCTCGTCTTCCCAGCAAACGTTCGTTGTGCACCGATAACACCATGCTTTGCTCTGTGAATATCTCCAAGCAGATTTGTAGATGAAGATGTAGACCTTGGAAAAAATTATCTTGACCAGCAGGTCTTTATGAACCTCCTTTCTTGTCTTCACAGCCAAAACAAATTTCTGATTGACTCGCCCAGATAAAGTTTAGTAAATGTTTAAATGGAAATACAACCAAGTTGTAATCTATTCGCTCTTCTTAATCCATAAAAATCAGCTCATGTTTATCCTTGAAGTTTGGATGTTTTCCCCTCTTTGTTTGTTTCCAGATACTAAGCTAAAGTCAAAGATTGCAATTCGAGCCTGTAAGCAAGCTCTCTGTTTTCTTATTTGGCTTTTAGGAATAAAATGATTTAACAGGCTTTATGTTAAGGGACAGAAGACTCTGGCTTATCTTCTTTTTCTAGACTCAGTGCAATGTCGCATCTCCCTGAGGGGTTTCATTTCATTTCACTAGATGATGTATAAACCATGTGTAAGCCCAAGAGGGAAAACATAGGAGAGACCATGAGAAAAGGCAAGACACCTACAGCGATGAAAGGAGCCGATAGAAAACAGGGCTAAAGATAGAGGGAGATGAGTTCCGCTTTTGAATGAAGTAGACTTGATTTAAATTCCTTATGTGGAGTTTCAGGCATTTAAAGAAAGTGTTCATCCTGATGCTTATGTCCTGTTATTTTCATACTCATTCCTTTTATTAATTTGGGAAATAAATTATTTTTAAATCAAACCTACTTATTTCAGGTATGTTTTTCATTATTATTAAACTGAAAAACTGCTTCAGGTAGCTTTACAGTTCACAGGTCTGCAAACACCCTCTGATGTCAGAAGGTCGGTGAAAGATAAGTTAGAACGGCTGAAAAATTCCCCACATTTTTCAACGAGGAAATTATTAACATAAAAAATGTACAGCTTAGATTTTCTGTTTTTATTTGCAAAAAAATAATGCTGTGGTTTTTACCATTATACAATGCTATAATGTATAAAGTATTCAGTGCTATTCTACTTTTTTACCCTTTTTAGTACTAAAAGTCAATATATTTTTAGGATTTAATGTCAGGGCCCTTCATGGACAGGCGCCTGGCTACATGACAGGTCTGATCCAGCCATATACGTCGGTCCGTAGCCTAAGGTCTTCAGGTCAAAACCTGCTTATGGTTCCTCGGACCCGTTTTAAAACCTGAGGAGACCGGTCCTTTAAAGTGGTCTCGTCTCTGGAATGAACTCCCCCTGTCCCTGCACTCTCTGGACTTGGTGGATATCTTTAAAAAGCAGCTAAAAACACACCTGTTTTCACTAGCCTTCCAAAGCACATAGCTTATTGTTTTATTCACTTATTTATTTGAGCTTTTATTGCATTTTATCTGTTTTTACTTGTGTTGTTTTTATGTTATCATGTGAAGCACTTTGTGACTTCGTCTGTGAGAAGTGCTATACAAATAAAGTTTACTTACTTACTTACTTACTTACTTACTGTAGATATTTGTCTCCTGTCAAAGAAATTTGTCTTAGAAGAGGGAGCAGTGCTACGATACAACAGGGACAAATAATGCTTCACACAGAATCAGTAACAATTAACAAAAAAAAAAAATAATATCCCAGATAATTATCCATGTGCAAAAAAATAAAAAAAGAAGCAGCACATAACATTATACAGTATTTTACAGTAAAACAAGTAAATATCTGAGGCTTGGTGAATTTTTATTCTTTCATAACTCTAAAATAGCACTAAAAATTGCATGCTTAGAAAAGTATCTGTCTATAAATAATGGTTAATCTCCGTATTAATCCATCTTTTCTGTTGAGTTGTTTTTGAGTCGAGAATGTCATTGATCAAATCACGTCATGAACACCAAGAAAGAGGGCTCATATGGGAAAAAAACTGTCACAACCTAGAAAAACAGGCAAGAAATGCATTTTTTAGACAAGCATCCCAAAGACCCTTAATAACTTTGGAGGAGCTCCAGGGATCCATGACTCAGGTGGAATAATCCTTTGACAGAACAGCTAATAATTTAGCTCTTTAATGTGGCCTTTATGGAGGAATGTGAAAGGAATGTTATTGTTTGGGCAGTGCCTTCTGCTTAGGATAAGATGCTATGAAACATGGCCTCCACAGCTTCATGCTGCAGTGATGCTTTCCTTCAATATAGACCAGTAACCTGGATGGAATTTGGCACAGTGTGGTTTTTAAAGGAAGCAATAAGAAGCTTTCAAAAGCAACACTAAACATACAGCCAAAGCTAATGTTGGAAGATTTAAATCAAAGTGTATTTATGTGTTTATATGGTCCGGTCCAAGTATAGAGCTAATGCTAACTGAGAATAATTCCTTTTTTTTTTCTCTAATTTTTCCAATTTGAGAAACTCATTCTGTTATAGCGCTGCAGCAATCTAATCTGATGTTCTGTTTCAAATCCATGCTTTCTGTGCGCCTCGAAGCTCTTGTGTAAATTCCGGCAAAGAATTTGTTGCAAAGCATATATTTAAAGAACCTCCTCCACCAAACACAGATTTGCTTCTGAAGTTTAAGCCAAATCAAAAAAAAAAAAAAAACCATTTGGCCTGTTCTTCATCAACCTGTCTTTTATAGGAAGCTGTCCTAAATTATAACCTAGCATCCTGCCAGGAGTTTAATGTAGATGGTGTTCTGCTTGCTTACATGGAGGTGCTGGATAGCAACTGCATGATGTTCCTCTGGGATTTATAAAATCTTTCATTATCTGATAAAGTAAAGGAGAAAATAGAAGCTGAAAGCCCACATTTTGTTAAGCACCAACCTGCAAGTGGATAGATAATGAGTTTTCTGTATCGCTGAATTCTTTAATCTCTATTTTCAGCCCATCTTTATTGCCTTAACGTTATTAACGCTTCTTCTTGGTTGAAAACAAAAGGCATAATCTATATTTATGAATGCATAAATGCAATACATCTTTATCTGGATTTATTTGCTGTATCTTACTACTTCGTTTTCACGAACACCAATAGTTCAATGATTTATATTCTACCAGCAAGAGTAAATGTCAGCGAATGGTTAAATGTGTCTGAAAATATTTTGTTTTCAACATTGTCTGAATATTTATTTTCCCTTCTTCTAAATACTGCAATAGCAGCCTACCTTATCTCCTCTATGCATGTTTTACTTGCATATTTAAATATCTCACTCTGCACAAGAGGTAACTGCATTGTTTTTTAAGCAGCAGCCATATGCACCTTTTTAAAATTCATATTCAAAGAGCACACAATCAAAGCTCCATCCACAGAGATCGAGCAGCATATGCTTTGCCTCTTCAGACCAGAAATGCTCCCATATGAAATCAGTGGATTGTTTATGGAAATTTACTGAGATCCAGCTATTTATCATCACTCCTACACAGAATGTATGGGTGTTACTGTTTTACTCTTTTCAGCTTGCTTAAATTGACTCAAATTTGAACACTTTTTTTTATTGTTTTGACTGAGGGCCCATAATGAAGTGGAGGGGATATAGATCATCTGTTGAACCTGATGTGTAATTTGGTTACATGTCTGTTTCTGAGGACAAATTAAAGTTGCTTCATTAGGGTCGGATTTTTTATTTTAATTTGTTTTTTAAAGGAACCCCCCATTGGGAAGATAGAGGTTAAAGCTTTTCTAACTTACTTTTCTTATCTTCTCCTCCAGACAACTGGAGCTGCACAGTCCTGATGCCAGACACACCATTGTGCTCCGGTGCCCAGACCAACCATCTGCCCTGTCCTGGTTCTCTTCCATGCACTCGGTCACATCCACGCTGGCACAGGTCTGTTTTCACTGTGATTCGTTTTACAGGAAGCTCTTGTCATCAGAGTACATTTAGACGTGTCAGCAACCGTTGCTCGGCTCCACCGAACTGCTTTGAGAGTCGAACATCCTAAACGATTATCCAGGCTTAAACTTGTCACCTCATCACAGCGGACGGCGGCGGAGGTCGTTCAGAATACATCCAAGACAGGGGTAGCTGGCAGCAAAGAGATCCGACACCTGGGATGGCTGGCAGGGAAGGTAGGTGTGTGTGCATGTGTGTGTACTTCAACAACTCTGAAATTTCTGTCGTCTAAATTGATTTGTCTTTTTACTGTCAAACTGACTTTCACACAGGCAAAAAAATCCTTATAGTTTAAAACAGTTAATTTCACTTTACAGATGTGTTCTGAGGTTGGTGTAAGTATGAAAGTAAAAAGAGAGAGTCCTCTAAGCTTTTTTCCTTTTATTATTGCTTAGTTTCTAGTTCTCTTATTTTATTTTTTGCATATGTAAGAGTGTCAAACGAATGCCTGCACTTGGAAATAATATCATTATTAGAGGCCAAGGGCTACTGTATTTATTTATACATAACTCATGGAGTTTGTCAATTTTAAATAAGAATTTATCAGATATTTTCCTTGTTTGTATTTTATTTTGGCTAAACCAAAGTTTTCCAAATACTGTAATTCTGTGTTTTCAAAAAGCTTTGAATATCCACTTTTTTATTTACATATTTATTTTTTGGTCAACCACCATTCTGCTACAGCATAAAATAAAAAAATAAAAACACAACAGATCTTTATTATTTTCTGTTGAAGGATCAGACACATAGACACTCTGTGGTTAAATATAAATAATACCTAACATAAATACAAGGTATGCAGTTGTATGAAAAATATGTCCAGTAACGCATAATCTGGAAAGATGAATGACTGTACCAGGACATTTCCAACAATGCATATAATGTTCCTTTTCTTCTGTAAGTGGTCCCATGTTTTCCTTTATCTGCTGTATGTTTGGCATCAAACAAAAATGTACTACCATGCCTCCTCTATGGTCTAAACTTTTAATGAAAGGTCAGAAAAATGCAGCAGTTTCAGGGCAACATTTTGTGGAAACTATGTGGATCCTTGAGTAATTGACCACCGCCCCTCCCCAACAGGTTGTAAATCACTACACATCAGCTAGTTGAAAGAAGGCCACCAGACTATTTCTTTGGTAGCTGCTTGGAAATAATGACACCTGCAAAAAACATGGAGAATAATAATGGGGAAACTGAAGGAACTCAACCAATCCCCTCATTAACGTAACGTTTTCAAGCTTCAGAGAAAAAGCTATTTATTGCTTACCTTGCTCTGATATTAGCTTGGTAGGCCTTTAAATGAATTTAATAAATGGGTGTCCATATTTTCTGCACAATAAACAATATTATTTGAAAACTTGTATTGAAATTTTCAAGTTTACATTCAACTTCAAGTCTAAATGAAAAACTACAAGTGGAAAAAGGATCCCTAAAAGAAATGTTAGACGTGCATTTGCTAATACCATCATACCATGAAACTAGTATTTTAGTCTTAAGGTTATTTAGCACAGGATTAGAATCTCCTAACAGCACATATCCGTGTTGAAAATACCTTAATTTGCCAAAGAGTTACTGTAATGATGAGATGTAGTGTGCGTGTTGTGTTTTTTGACCATTAGATGTGTTTGATTGAGCCACATAATCCATTATGTCCTCTAAACAAATCCAAAGCAAGCCCACATTAATGCATTGAGAAAATCCTAAAAGTAATCCATAGGTTTATTAAATGTGCATTTTCTAGCCTTTCTCCTATTACAAAAAGTATGAGACGGGCTGTCTGCATGTAGAAAATGTATGGGATAAGTGTTCTTAAGAGGAACTCGACAAGATGGGGTCGGAAGATGAAAATATTCAGTGTTTATGTGTGATTGTGTCTCTGTGCTTGTGTGCATGTAACCAAGGCTGCATTCATATTAGGAATTATCTCCAACTCCTGCTTACAGTCATGCTGCCTATCTGTGAATTTGACGCTTCCACAGCCTCGCTGTCTTTCATATACAAACAAACACCTGTGCAAACAGGCACAAACATCCATATCTATCTAATTTAGTCCTCATGAATTTGCCAATATTTGATCCTCCAAATGCAGTACAATACAGTTACTTAGCAACATATCCTCATTATGTTAAAAAGCTGACCCTTGACCCTTAGAGTCCCACAGAGCGATTGGTTGAAGCAGAACTTCAAAGAGCTGCTTTGGATTCCTCGGCTCGGCTGCAGATAAGCTCTAGTAATGAGAAGAGTTCTGGAGCATTGTCACATAAAATGCACATGGATTGTGTGTGAACGCGTGTGGGTGTGTGTGTGTGTGAGCAAAAGAGAGACATGTAAGTGAGAGGCTTGTGGAAGTGAGTAGGTGAGGGGCCAAAACAAATGGATAAAAAATGTCTACCTGCATCTTAAAGGCTGTATTCACTCTTAGCCCCTTTTCTGTTGAATACATTGTGCAATTTATACGTCATGAGTTTTAGCTTATACTTATTTATTTTGTGCAAATTTTACACTTTAAATTCCAAAATAGGTAATTTATTGGTTTCTTGACTGTGCAGCAACTAATCAAATTCAACTTGAGTGGCCCTGCAGGATTAATTGTTTAGTTGGTCTCTTGACATTACATCCAGTTTTCAGTAATCACTTGCTCAGTTTAAATTAATCATCCATCTAGTACTCATTAAGTGTTTTTTCTTTCTCCTGGTCAGACTCTATTTCTGAGTCTGGTATGTTAATGATAAAAAGTTATTTCTGTTGTTAATTAGCACAATTTACATAATTAAACTGCTGAATGTTATTACGCATGAAAAAAAATCCACATTTTCGTGACGTTATGAGTTAAGTCCACTGATTAACGTAATCATTTTAATGAGTTTCAAACTGAGGGGGAAAAAAAACAACAAATGAAAAAAACAAGTTATATGAAAAACCCCAGAATAATTTATCATACCGTAGGCCGTGGCAGTTATGTGTCAAGTAACTAACCTGAATCAAATAAACAGGTTGCATTTTTTTTTACCTTTATTTTTTTTTTATTGCACTGTTCTGTATTACCCAGCATATGGCTAGATGGGAGCAGCTGTTCCTCTCATTCTTTATCTGTTTATGTGGCAGACGGAGAGTGAGAAGCAGTCTTGGAAGCCGGTGCTGGTGGTGGTGACAGAGAAGGACTTGTTGCTGTACGAGAGTTTGCCTCGAAGCAAAGAGGCCTGGCAAAATCCTGCACATAATTTTCCACTTTTAGCAACACGGTAGGTCCTTTAAACACAATTTTACAAAGTAATGTTATGTGCATTTTTTGCACGTTCCTCCATAACAACTTGTTGTAACTGTGGGTTGAAACTGACTTAATTTAGTTTAATAATCAACAGGCTTTAAATGTTGGAGTTTAGAAATATCCATGAAGGTCATACTTTAATTTCGCACCTAGCATACCAATTATATAACACAGAAGATTTGTAGCCTGGCCTTGTCTGAATTATTTGCATGCCCTTTCCTTGTAGTTCTTTTTTTGTATTTCTGAATTATAAAATTGCAAATATGATTTGGATTTTACAGCCTAAGTTTTTACTAAAGTTAGTATGTAAAGACACAAAGTTGTGAAGTATTTACCCTCAAACACATTTCTTTTGTCTGCTGTTTTTTGATCTTTGTTACACATAAATGCCAGCCCGGGGTCTTTCTGCATGGAGTTTGCATGTTCTCCCTGAGCATGCTTGGGTTCTCTCCGGGTACTCCGGCTTCCTCCCACAGTCCAAAACATGACTTTTAGGTTAATTGGCTTCTCTAAATTCTACTTATGTAAGTGTGTGTGTAAATGGTTGTTTGTCCTGTTTGTCTCTGTGTTGCTCTGCGATGGACTGGCGACCTGTCCAGGGTGTACCCCGCCTCTCGCCCGTAGACAGCTGGAGATAGGCACCAGCACCCCTCGCGACCCCACTTTGGATTAAGCATGTCAGAAAATGCTTGTTAACAATTCCAACCAGAGGAAATATAAAATTGAGGGAAAGATCTGCAAACCTTTTGTCTCCAACTTTTTATATCCTGAATGATGGAATACCAACGTAGAAAACAATACTGATTAAATAAAATGCAAAGATCAGTCTCTAATATCATTGAAAACCTCATTATGAACCCCAAGATTTTTAGACAAATATGCTTTTCAAAAGCATGAGCAAAATGTAAAACATTTAGTAAGCTGGGCCTCACATTATATCTGACACTATTTCAGAAAAACCATATATCAGTGAAAATCAAACACGGTGGTGTAGATGCGATGATCTGGTGCTTCTATGCTACATTAGAACCTGAAGGACTTGCTGTTATGGATAAAAACCAAGTCTACCAGGAACTGATGGATGCAGAAATGAGTTAATAATCAAATAAAAAGAAGAATCAGACACAAATGTCGACTTAAGGATAATTTTCATAAAGACACTAAAATTTTCTGATAAGTTTTCTTAGCCACAATTTGTTACTGAAAAAGGGTGATTGAATATCAGTTTTAAAAACAGTATTAAGTATTTAAAAATGTTAGACTATATTATCATATTATAAAATGTACCATTTTATATCAGCAAAAAATGTTTTGTAAAATTCATGCAATCTTTTTTTTCAAGTTATTTAAAATATTGCACATAAATAATGTTCATATAATGTGCCTAATGAATAAAATGCTTCTTTTTTTTCTAGTCTGGTCCATTCTGGTCCTGACCGGGGGTCGCCGTGCTCTGGTACTGAGCTGTTTTTTGCCACTCGAACAGGCACAAGACTTGGCATCGAAACTCACTTTTTCCGCACCGAGACCACGAAGGATTTATCCATGTGGACCCGACACATCGTCAACGGATGTCACGCATCGGCTGAGATGATCAAAGAAGTCACAACTAGTATGTTTATTTACATCTAAACTTTCATACTGTAAAAACTTTTAGAAAGGGAAACTTTGGACAAGATGGAGACAAAAAAAGAAGCATATGGTTTCGGAAGGTGCAATGTGAGCTGTCCTGGTCACGTTCTGGGTTTCTGCAGCACTCCCTTAAATTTGTTGTGGCATGCAGTGACATAGCACCTCCACAGAAATTTAAGAGGCTGTCTTGGTGAGTAGAGCTTCAGGTCAAGGAAGTCTGGAGTCACTGCATAAAGCAGTATGTATACATATGACTGCAGACTCCCACATCCTCTGAGATAGAACTGCATCTTTGATATGATATGACAGCCATATGGAAGATGTGGACAAAGCACTTGCTATTTATAGTAAGGACTTGTGTGTGTGTGTGTGTGTGTGTGTGTGTGTGTGTGTGTGTGTGTGCAAGTGTGTTTGCTGTTTGGCACCGGCTATGCGTTGTTTAGGGAATTTGGGTATGACTGCCCCTCTCTCATGGCCTCCTACTTTCTCAAAACACTAAATGTCCTGGGAATCACTGCTCTCCCCTGGGTCCTCCTCCTCTTTCTGTGTGCCAAATTAAGCTTCACCTCAGATTCTTCTCTCGTATCTATGAAACAGCTCGCATCCACCAGCATCTGATGCCCACAGTTGTTTCTCTGTCATTTACCACCAGCTTCTTGTTAAAACCTACCTAGAGTGTTTGCACCCACTGTACCAGGTCTAAAGCGCCTCCAGTAATTGGTGGGGTGTTGCTGATATGTGGGAACCTTGATTTAAAGTGAAAGTAAAGGTTTACAGCTATAAGTTGCTAAACATCTTTTTTGTATTAGTATCACAAGATAAAGTTGAGTATTCTCCACAAGCGTGGTGCAATCAAGCAGGTAGTTTTTCCTCCTTTGTGTGTTTTTGTGTGTGGATACTGTTTGTCTCCTGGCGCTGTGCTCATTCTGTCTCACTCTCAATGTTGATAAGATGTCTAATCAGTCAAAGTACCTGCAGGCATACTCAGAGCTATGCAGTGAGCTTATGTTGGATTTTTGTTACACAGTTTATACTTTAAACACTTGCAGCGACATTGTATTGCTTTTTAAGTGAATGCAGCAACTATTTCCTTGTGTTGTGCATCCACCAGCAGGTTAATGTGTTATGATTGTTTGAATACTTAACTTAGTGTAGCCGATAAATGTTCCTCGTGTACTTTTTGTCCTTTAATCATCAGCTATCTCTAATAATAATAATAATAATATATTCATTACTGAACTTCTTTCTTGGGTAGGTTTATTACAAACTGTTCCTGGTGTTCAGCTCTATGTCGGCCTCTCTGCAACTAGGTACAGGCTTAATGGCATATGATTATGAATGTGAAGGGTAATCTTTGATTAATAAATAACGTAGGTAACTATGCTAGGCAAAGGTTTTAAATTTTACTACATTTTGTTTTACTTTTTCAAAATGTTACCATAATATGACTCTTTAAGGCTCTCTTAAGGTCTTTAAAACATTTTATTTAGATTTTGGTTGCTTGTGCATCTATTACCTGTCTAGTATCTACCTGCAAATGTTTCTGTTGGCTGAAAGGATATTATTTCTGCAATTTTAAACAAGTTTTGAAGGTGTGGGAGTTTCAGCTATCCTGATATTATGTCAACTTGAAAGTTAGCCATTGTCTTAGAAATATATGTATATATAAAAAAAATTACAACATTTGGTGAAGATTACTGTAGAAGATACAGAAACGTCTGGTTTCATTAAGGCAAGTATCACACATGGTCATTGTTATTTACCAGCCATCGTGGATTTAGTCTTAGTCTTAGTCATCAGGACGAAAACTATTATTAGTCTTAGTCACATTTTAGTCATTACAATATGTGATAGTTTTAGTCGGTTTTAGTCGACTAAAGCTTAAAAAATTTTTATTCTAGTTTTAGTCAGTTTTATGTTGCAAAAAAAAGTTAACCTTTACAATTTCAAAATACCAAACAGCTTGTTTAGCAGACTGACAGCTCTTGCCTATATACTACAATATCTGGGTATGGGATGCTGCAGTGTAGTTCATCATTGCTGTTGGGCAGAAAATATAGAATTCAAATAAACTTTTTTATTAATTTAAATCCTACTTTATAAAAAAATTGTGTCACAAAAGCTGGGAAAATAGCAGATCTAGTTCAACACATCATATTAGTTAACATAGCAGACAGACAAGCTAATAAAATGTACAATAAAGGAATGGTTTTAGGCATACAAGGTTTCCATCCAAAGCAAACACTTCCTGATCTACTACTAATTATGCATTACAGACAGGTCAATACATTCTTCATTACTACAAAAAAGCAAAGATAAAAAACATTTGTTCTTTCTACTTTGGCAATTTGGGGGTGCACCATCAAACAGGGTGCAGCAGCACGGCTGATACTGCTTAGCAGTTTACAGCACAATTATGCATTTTAAATGTCTGACCGACCACCAACTAATCTTAGTTTAGTGTTGTTTGTTTTACTATTTTCATATCCTTAATTCTTAGGTTTTTTTTAGTAATTCTCTTTGTTTAGTTCGTCTTTTCTCTTTATCTTCATGAGAAAGAGTGTCATCAGAATAATTTCATCGTCTTTTTTGACGAAAACAACACTGCACAAGGTACACTATTTCAGATACACTATTTTATATACACTATACAGAAACATTTACTCTGCTAGTCACTTCTGTAGAAGAATTCGAGCAGCTCAGCAAGGACACGTCTTCCAAAAATGTTTGCTAAAGCATTACCTGCACTCAGAAGATCAGTGACTTCCAGGGTGGTATGCTGACCGGATCTGTAAATATTTATTCACTGCTGAATATTATACAGTCAACTGTTAACATCATAACCAAAGGAAAGTGGTTGGTAACAGATCTATGATGTAAAAACCACAGAGCATACAATGGTCACAGTGTGTGACTTAATAGCTGTAGGTCTCCAAACCTCAAGTGGTCTTTATGCTAGCTCAAAAAAAGTACAGAGAGATTCTTGGACTAAGGCTCTCTGGCTGAACAGTTACTTTGAAGGTATTGTGGAGAATTTTCTCAAATTTTCTAAAAGACCTGCCCTCTTTGCTTAAAAAAAAGATGCCCGTGCAAGAGCTCTATACATATATATATATATATATATATATATACATACATACATGCATATTGAAACACACTGGATTATTTTTGACAATATATATATTATTTTGTAATATGCTATATTTAGACAAAAAATTTCCAAAAGTACCTCCTGCATGTTAATCTGTTTCAACAGTTTGAGCTAATAAGACTGTTAAAGCATTACGAATTTGCCTGTTTTGGTATTCAATAAGATTTTTTTTCTTTTTATTATTATATAATGTCTCCATATTCAGAGGGGCAGCCAGCAACTTCAAGACATCAGACAACCTCTACAATGTACAATGTAAATTAATAATATACATATAATTAAAAAGAAAATATTTTTGGGGGTAAACAAATTTCTCTAATAAAATATCTGTCCATATATGAATGTTTGGGCTGATCGAAAAGCTTTCCCAAGCCTCACTTCAAGCATTTTTGCTGAGGCAGAGTTTGGACTGATATGAGTCAATTTTTATTGATCTTCCTTACTAAAACAAAAGACGGGATGCAGAAGAAATTATTGTTATCAGTAAACCACTATAATTACATTTTTCCCTCCCAAACATGTAATTCACCAGAAAATTTGCGATCCTTTTTGTCAAGGCTAAAAAAGCACAACAGCATCATGGTGTTGCTACACTGACAATGTTTTTACCTCAGCCAGCAGTAGAGCTTTTAAAGCTCCACACTGGTGTGTTATTTTATTTATCATATACTGTTAAGTATATTCTGAACCACCTGGAAATCATTATAGTTTAAATACTTTGCTAAACTTGGCTGTTGATGAAGATATGCCCTGTAAAACCCATCTTATTAATTTCATTTTTAGAATGATGGATAGATATTAATGTTCTAAGTAATTTACTTTTGACCAAACCTTTGAATTTTATTTGAACCAAATTTCATACAGAGATCTTATTTGAACACCGGTTTATACTCCAGTTTATCAGTTGGATCGAACAGCAGTAGGGAAGTGATTTACTCTGCCATGGGAAGGAGTGTGACTTTGCATATAAAATACATTCAGTCCTGTTTTTAAGCACTTGCCAGGAATCATCTCACTGACCTTGTCAGCATCTTATCTGTAGAACATCCTAAACTCTGATGCTTTATTCATTGTCAGAGCTCACAGTGAAGATTTGCTCTGAAGATAGATTAACACTTAGTCGCTCAACAGGCAGTGGGACATTCTTTAGGGATTATGAAGAGGCGCGTACTTTGTATGGCTCTGAAATCAAAGTACTCTCCCTCCTCTGGCATATTTTATCTAGTGATATGGACTTTTCCGAGGTCAGTCCTATAATTCCAGCAAATAGGAGCCATGCTTGTTCTATTATTTATATTCTATTGACCTACTTGATAAAATGTGTTTGATGTCAGTTATCTTGATTAACACTGTGAAATTAAACAGGATTGACCATATATCACATTTGTCTTGTTATACAGACTTCCAGAGTATGCTAGTTAACCCAGCCTACAACTGTGGATTATGATGGACCTGACAATAATTTTAATTTAAAGGTTGGAGGTCGCTGAGCAGAGGAGAAAACATGAGGAAGCAGTCTGGTTGATTTCTAAATCTTAAAACTGATCTAATTACCTATTACTAGTTTAATATAAGTTGGAGAAAAAAGATAGGAAGAAATCAAATTGATTACTGCCTTACTAGTATTTCTGCGGACTGTTGCTACTCTTTAAGTAATGATTTTTATCTATTTGAGTTTGTGTTGAAAACTTATAAGCATTAAACATCTTTTGTGCAGTAAAGCTGGGAGTACACTGTACGAGTTTTTGCCCTTTTCGTGCCGATTCTCCAGTTGTGCGAGATTTTTTTCGATCTTATAAATTTATTGAGCTTATAAATTTTCCTTATAG